TGCAAACAGCCATCAGCCCCTCACCCAGACTGGCCAGACACCCCAGCGGGGACCCCTACCCTGAAGGGGGTGTGGCCAGCCTGCAAACAGCCATCAGCCCCTCACCCGGGCTGGCCAGGCACCCCAGCAGGACCCCTCTCCCTAAAGGGGGTGTGGCCAGCCTGAAAATGGCCCTCAGCTCCTCACCCAGGCTGGCCAGGCACCCCAGTGCGGACCCCCACTCTGATCCGGGACACCCTTCGGAGCAAACCAGCCGGCCCCCACCCATGCACCAGGCCTCTATCCTATATAATAAAAGGGTAATATTCAAATTGACCCTAACAGCAGAATGACTGGTCACTATGACACACACTAACCACCAGGGGGCAGATGCTCAATGCAGGAGCTGCCCCCTGGTGGTCAGTGCGCTCCCACAGGGGGAGCTCTGCTCAGCCACAAGCCAGAATTATGGCTGCCAGTACAGCGGTGGTGGTGGGAGCCTCTCCCGTCTCCTCAGCAGTGCTAAGGATGTCCGACTGCAGCTTAGCCTGCTCCCTGCTGGCAAGTGGACATCCCCCGAGGGCTCCTGGGCTGCCAGAGAGATGTCTGACTGCCAGCTTAGGCCCAATCCCCCAGGGAGCAGGCCTAAGCCATCAGGTGGTCATCCCCCAAGGGGTCCCAGACTGCGAGAGGGCACAGGCCAGGCTGAGGGACCCCCCCCCCCATGAGTGCACAAATTTTTGTGCACCAGGCCTCTAGTTTTATGAATATTACCAGAAGCATGTTTGTACATGGAAGATGTAGGGCTGATTTTACATGTTAACATGGCTTGTAAGACATACATTTTATTCCAATCCTGGTGTCTCATGGTCAAGTAGTTGCTGTCAGTTCTAGGAGGACTAAATCTTAAGGTTGTAATTTGAATGCTTTCCTCCATTGCATGGCTACTGGCTATATCCTTCTCAACATCAGTCACTGTTTTCCCATTTTGCAAAAGATATAATGGGTAAGAGGGGCTGACTTGGTGCAGATTCATTGTTTATTTTTTAGAGTCTTTTGAAATGAAAATGCCAAGGAAACCCACTAATGACCACAGTTGAAAATACTCACTGTACATCCAGGAGACAGTCATATTGCTTTGTGATATAAAGGCAAACAATTGTTACAAGCTTGTGCTGTCCTTAGACCCAGAAAAAGAATTGGCAAATGTACACTTTCCTTCCTGCTTGAGCTTACAACAAAAAAATTTTTTATAAATAAGTAATGGGTTGTAGAAAGTAGCTATTCTCAGGACCAGGTGGTTCATTAGCACCATATGGCGTGCCTGTACCAGACATCTCTTTCTTAAATCCTATGTTCCTGCCTGCTTAAAATGTGAATGATTGCCTCCCCTTTTCCACTCCAGGACATTCAGGGGACTTTAATCCTTCCTGGCACACTGTGTCCTTCAGTACCTTCTTTAAAAGCATGCCTGATTTTGTAATTGTTCTGTAATTGGAAGTCAGCTTCACTGGACAAGTGCAGGTCTTAAGCCCTTCACAGTAGCCTATCAGCCTAAATAAACCACAGAAACATAAAAACAATTAGTTGGGCGTTTTTGCAAAATGAATGCATGTTAGTAATCAGTGTAGTTGCAGAGACTTTGCCACTCAGGTCTAACTGCTTGGATATGCTGACTCTACCAATGGGGGTTAGGGGGGATCAAAGAAAATTCTCCATGGTCCATGATTTCAATTTATTTTTGGCTGAGGCCCTAAGGCTTCTATAGGGTCAGAAAATTTGTTTATAACCATAGTTTCTGCATTGGGGAAAGAAATGCCATTTCTGCCCCCTTCTCCATTTGCTAACCAATTAGGAGAATAATAGGCAGTAGAGAAAACTTCCATCTTTATTGAAATTAGGAGACATTCATATCTGGACTTCTAATACTGTGTTTGAAAAGGGCTTTCTGATTAGTGAAAACTGTATCAGTGTAAACACAGACTCAGAGATAAGGCCGGGGGCTTCAAATTTCGTGGGCCTACAAGACAGAGTGCAGAGTTTTTCAAAATATAGGGTGCCCCAAAAAGTGTATACACACACTTTGAATAATTATAAAGCAGTGTCTATTAAAACACATTTTGTTTTCAAAATTGAGCTGTCAGGTGTTAAAGTATGTATATATTTTGGGGGGACACCCTATAGATATCACAGCTTTGGCTTAAAAAAGGTCCAGGTACCTAGGCTGACAGCCACATGTTGTCAGCACTGAGTGACCTCAGAGAACAACTGAGCAAGCACATAGGAAACACATGGACATACCATCTTAGGACACTGGGGGGTGGGGTGAAGGATAAACTGGGGGTGTGTGCAAACATCCCTTTAGCTTCTATGTCTGCTAAAGAAGAGTGAAGATGCCCTGGCTGCTTTAGCTTAATGGCTAGAGCATTGGCCTGAGGACTGGAGTGTCCTGGGTTTGATTCCGGTCAAGGGCACATGCCTGGGTTGTGGGCTCGGTCCCTAGTAGGGGGTGGGCAGGAGGCAGCCAATCAATGATTCTCTCTCATCATTGATGTTTCTATCTCTCTCTGTTTCTCCCTTCCTCTCTGAAATCAATAAAAATATATTTAAGAAGAAAGAGTATAGACTTTACCATGCACCACAAACCTCCATTAAGAGGTTTCACTGGGAGCATGTAGTTTGCTATCTCATTTATGTAGAATTGTATAAACACACACACACACACACACACACACAGTGGTGGGAAGGGAAGGACAGAGCTAGAACTATACATAATGACTTATAGGAATTTGCAAGGTTATATTACCAAGTGAAAAGAAGTTGAAGGTGATATGTAAATTGACTCATTCTATTTGTATAGAACCAACGTTCTTATATGTTTGGAGAAAGGTGCATATGGCAGTCAATTAACAATATTAGTCCCAGGGGTATGGTACTGGAAAGAGCTGGAGTCAACAGGGTGAGGAGAAAGGTGTGTGTGTATTCGGATAGTCCCAAACTTATGATTTTTTAACTTTATAATGGTGTGAAAGCAACTTACATTCAGTAGAAACTGTCCTGCAAATTTTGAATTTTGACCTTTTCCTGAGCTAGTAATATATGTTAAGATACTCTCTCTTGATGCTGGGCAGTGATAGTGAACCACAGCTCCTGGTCAGTCACACAATCTCAAGGGTAAACAACTGATACTCTACAGTGTACTGTGTTGCTACATTTTTAGATACTGTGTTTTGTATTTTTCCATCCTATCACGTCTACAAAATACCCGTCTGTGTCTTCTAGTTCTGGCGAGAAGGGGAAGGCAATTACTCTTGAGATGAAACTCAAGATGATTGTCCAGCTGTAGGCTAATGTAGGTGTTCTAAGCACATTTATGGTAGGCTAAGCTAAGCTATGATGTTTAGGTTAGGTGTATTAAATGGATTTTTGACTTACATTTTCAACTTCTAATGAGTTTATTGGGATGTAACACCATTGTAACATCATCATTTAAAACTTATATAATTTTAAAATTGGTATTACTTTTTATAATTTGAAAAAGAAAAATGCTTAACAAAAAACAGGGCAGTAATTGTTTTCCTTGAAATAATAATTTTAAAAAAGAGCTCAGAGAAGAGCTAAGAGCTACAAACATCCAAGGAATAGTATTGTAACAGACATAATTTGAAAAGTAGTTGGTCAGAGAGAGACACTAGAAACATCAAAGAGATTCTTTAAAATAAAGCAGAATATAAAAAAATGCAAAGAGTTAAAAAGGGAGAGAAAAATAATAGCCATAGCAGACAAAGGAGAACCAATATATGAATAATTGGCTTCCATGATACACTAAGCCAAAGGCTTTTATGAAGGCTGACACCAGAACATAAGAACAGAGGGAAAAGACATATAAATATGTTTCCATAAAATAAAGTCTATATACCAAAAGGGCACATTGAGTTCCAAAAAAATTTTGATACAAATGATTAATAACTAGAAATATCCTGGCATATTATGCTTCTGACATAAAGAGTTCTTTGGGTATTTAGCTTGCTTCTTCACCACCACCACCAGCACAAAAGAAAATCAACTATTTACACATAGATTTAAAAAAAAAAAAATTACTCTTTAACAAAAAGAAAAATATAAATAAATTACTTAAGGTATTTCAAAACCTTTTTTACATTCATTTTTTTGTGAGTCCAGACCTTAGTGTTTGTGTTTTCTCATTCAAAATGGTCTTTACGGTATGAAGAGCACTTGTGATGGCCCGGCTGGTGTGGCTCAGTGGTTGAGCATTGACCCAGGAACCAAGAGGTCACAGTTTGATTCCCAGCCAAGACGTATGCTGGGGTTCACTCCTGTTCTTCTTTCGAATTAAAGCTGATTCCATGATGGACATATCAATCTGTGGAGAATAGCTTTTTTTTCCTCTCTCCAAAGTAGAAAATTCAGCACCCATACTTAGTAACTGAACTCAGAATGCATTAGGGATCCAACTGCAGTTCAGTGATGATGGATTCAACAATTGGCAGCAGTTCTTCAGAGAATACAGGCTGTGGTTTCCTCCTGGGATGACCTCACCAGGACCATTGACAACAGTGCTAGTGGAAAGTGGAATGAAACAGTTAGTTGAGCCTTAGAAAACAGAAACAGTAGATGAGCAGAAGATGACACATCAGAAAAAAGCATAGGGGAGGAAGCTGATTTCCTCCCTCACATTCTGGTTAGGGTAGGTTAAAGACAGAGTCCCCGGAGAATTAGTTTTGACTCTCAAATCCTATTTGGCCTCAAAGATTTTCCCTATTTCCTCCAGAATAAACAAAGGGAGAATCAAATCAATCCTTATAGAACACTTACATATTAAGAAGGGCAGATGGGTGGGGATAATTGTTTTGTAAACAGAAACTGTACAGGACGGGGGTAGCTGGCATGGGCCCCTGGTGGCCCCTCATTCACTGTAGTTCGTCACCACGTTGTCAGGATAACCTGTGCTGCATGACCTCCTTCAAAGGGAGGCAGTACCTAGTAATGAAACTAGGATACTATTTAAGGGCATGGGTTCTGTGGCAGAAAGACCCAATTTTTCTTAGGTCTTTCTGTCTTGATTGTGCATGAACTCATTTTTCTTAGGCAAGTGACATAGCCTCTCCAAGCCTGATTTCATCCAACGCTTACCCAAGCAAGAGTGCCTAACTTAAACAGTGGTTTCGAAGTTCAAGTGAACTAATTCAGACACAGGGCCTAATACACAGCTGGGGGCGTATAAAATGCTTGAGCAGCACTGTTTAGTATTATGATTCCTAGCCTTAGCTGAGAAAAGTCAAAGTGAAAGGGGGTTAGAATTGTCACACACATTCTTATATTTAAAGTTAAGAGTTATGAAGATATAAAAATAAGTGAATGGGGTCTATAAGGGATATAAAGTAGTAATAATCAAGAATACAATACCTGCTCAATAGAGTCTGGCAACAAGATACCACAGAGGTTGTGTTTCGAGGTAAACTGGAGTTGAAGACTTTCTCTAAAATGTGGTGACAGTTGACATCTACAGGAGTGCCGGAGAGAATGCCTGGAAGTGGAACAGATGCCATTCAGTGTATTCATTAACAAAGCCGCTGAACTCTCCTTCGGTTCTTAGCTTCTCCATCGTGCCCCACACATTTCACTTTACAACATGCTTACAGGCAGCTCTGCCTCTCAACTTTCTGCAGCAGCACCTGCTGCATATGCAGGTTGGAAGCTCTGTCCCCCTGAAAGTTGCCATTCTATGGGCACAGGGAGACAGGACACAGAGGACAGGAGGTGGTACCTGCGACACAGGCTGTCATGAAGCAGGCTGTGGTCCCTGAAATCAGAGCTCTCATTGCCCCTGAGATGATGTCATCCTTTCTGGAAGGAGCCATGGATACTGGGAAACATAGAAGCAAGAATTAGAGATTATTGTCGAGACTATTGAGTAGAATTCCAAATTCCCAGCCTTTGAGAATTGTTCAGGGGTGGGGTCTCAGGTCAGCTAACTTAAAAAACAAAAAAGAAAACAAAAAACTAAGCTGGAAAATTCAAGATTCAAGAACTTAGTGATGAGCTCCACAACCAGAGTTCTCTGGTGTGTGAGGAAGGGACTAAGTTTGTCCACACAAAGAAACAAGTCCTCAGTTTCATCCAGAAGGCTCCTGGTATGTTGGGGGCATGGCAAGGCAGTTGCATTGCAAGGATGCATTCCCAATATTTGCAATCCATTCATCATCGTCATCTACTTCTATGCCCGTGCGAGAAATCACAATTTAATCATAGCATTTTCCCACTGAACTTCCACTGAACCCTTGCATCCTTCTCCAGGTGGCCATCATAAATCTCTGGGAACTGGCATGCAAAGTGAAACCTATGTGTCATCCTCAGGTAGAAAAGAACCTGTCCATTGGAGCAAATTCTTGCTCAAGTTAGCTTGGGTATACACAGGAAAACTGCATTGCAGAGCAGGGATAAAAAAATAGACTCCAAAAGATTTACTGCTATTGCAGGGCTTTTTTTTTTTTTCTAACACAAATAATGTCACAGAGCAAAATGGAGAGCTGAAGCATGTTTACATCACATCTATTGTTGAATAATATTCTTTCCACTTACTGAGTGCGCCAATCACTATTCCTAGGGAACTGATATTGGCAAAGCCACAGAGAGCATAAGTGGCAATGATCTCCGAACGAATCTGTAAATAAGCATAAACACACAGGTGTATATAAGGTGTGACCCAGCTTATAAATATGGCATCCTAACCAGGCTTCCTAGTGTGACTATGGAAACAGTATTGACAACTAAATGTGCGATGCATGGTGTCCAACACTTGTTGCTTCCTAGACACTTTTTTCCCATCTCCCCTTGAATTTTGAGGAAGGGAAAAGAGACTATGTGGATTCAGAGACTCTATAAAAGACTTGAGGTTTAAGGTCCCAGGTTCGATTCCGGTCAAGGGCATGTACCTTGGTTGCGGGCACATCCCCAGTGGGGAGTGTGCAGGAGGCAGCTGATCGATGTTTCTCTCTCATCGATGTTTCTAACTCTCTATCCCTCTCCCTTCCTTGTAAAAAATAATCAATAAAATATATTTTTTAAAAAAAAGACTTGAGGTTTGCTCTGGCTGGTGTGGCTCAGTTGGTTGAGCATCATCCCATGCACTGAAAGGTAGCCAGTTCGATTCCAGGTCAGGGCACATACCCAGGTTGTGGGTTTGATCCCTGGTTGGGGTGTGTATGGGAGGAGACCAATCAATGTTTCTCTCTCACATCAATATTTTCTCTCTCTAAAAATCAATAAAAAAGAGATTTTAAAAAGTTGTTTAAGAAAAAAAAAATTGAGGTTGGTAGTCTTGGCCTCTACAAATTGCTACTTTCTGCTTACAATGATAACTTCTAACATCAATATGACCAGGCCACCTACTATAATGTGCCAGGCACAGTACTAACTACTAATGATACAAAATTGGTCCCAGAAAATATCCACATTACATTTATTTGACAAAGGACTTATTCAGAATGTATAAAGAACTGTTATAACTCATTATGAGAAGACAAGCACCCAATTAAAAAAACAGATAAAGAGATTTCACAAAAGACATATGAATGGCCAATAAGCAGATGAGAAGATGTTCATCCTTACTCACCAGGAAATGCAAATTAAAACAGTGAGATACCACTGAGTCTACTAAAATGGCTAAGAAGGTGGACAATAGCAAATGTTGGTGAAGATGTGGAGCAATTGGAACTCTTTTTTTGGGGGGGGTGGTATTTATTTATTTATTTATTTTACTTAATTTTGTCTTTATTTTTTTTAAAATTTTGTTTTATTGCTTAAAGTATTACAAAGAGTATTACATATGTCTCCTTTTTTTTCCCCCTTGACATTCCCTGGCCTCCCCTACCCCCCAGTGTCTTGTGTCCATTGGTTATGCTATTATGCATGCATTCAAGTCCTTCGGTTGATCTCTTATCCTACCCTACCCCTCCCCGGGCTTTCCGCTGTAGTTTCACAGTCTGTTCAATGCTGCTCTTCCTCTGTATCTATTTTTGTTCATCAGTTTATAATGGTCTTTATTATCCATAAATGAGTGAGATCATGTGGTATTTTTCTTTCATTGACTGGCTTATTTCACTTAGCATAATGCTCTCCAGTTCCATCCATGCTGTTGCAAATGGTAAGAGTTCCTTCTTTTTTACAGCAGCATAAGCAATTGGAACTCTTGTACATCATTGGTGGGAGCGTAAGCTGACATAGCCTGTTTGTAAAATACAAACGTACTCAGCAGTTTCTTATCAAGTTAACGTAACATTGCTGTGTGACCAGAAATCCCACTCCTAGGAATTTTCCCAGGATAAGTAAATATGTATGTCCACAAGAAAACTGTTCATGAATACCTGTAGTAGCTTTATTCATAACAGCCCCAAGCTGGAAATAACTCAAATGTCCTTCAACAGGCAGATGGACAAACAAATTGTGGCTATCCATAAAATAGAATACTACTCTGCAACAAAAAGGAAAATAACTAATATATGCAACAACATGAATGCTAAGTGAATCCATTTATATGAAATTCTAAAATAAGCAAAAGTAATCGATAGTGAAAGAAAGGTCCTTGCTGCCCGGGACTGGGGAGGAGGGTTGTTGACTACAGTGGGACATGGGACACTTTCTAGGTGTGATGGAAATGTTCTATATCTTGCTTGTGGTCATGGTTACACAGGGGACACATTTGTCAAAACTCATGTACACCCAAAACGGGCCTTTTGGTATGTAAACTATATTTCAGTACAAAGAATGTGTTAAAATGAATTCTACTAGGCAAGAGGAAGCTCAGAGATACCTCAGGAGTTCCTCTCAGTATGGGTGTGGTGTGTGCTTGCTTTCCTTGCTTTGTTCCTCAGCTCTGAACATCCCATGGGAATATTAGGTGCCTGCTTAGAAGGGGGAGAGTGAACCTCTCACAGGGCAGTGAGATGATGGAAGGTGAATTTGTAAAACCATGAACATGGCCCTCCGCCTCTATTCTGAGAGTCAAGAGGGGTTGCTCTGGCCAGATAATTCTTTCTCAGACTGAGGGACCTGCTGTAGGAAGGAGGCTCAGAGATTCAGTGGACTTTGTTGTTCACCAGAGGTATACCCCCTCTGGTAAAGGCACCCCCACAAGGAGGCAATAATTTTCTTTTCCAAAATCCTGAAAAATCTATGATTTGGTTCAAAGAACAAACAAGGTCAATGCTACATTCAAAGTGGTGGTGCCTTTCCCCCCCTTTTCACTCACTAGATTTTTAAAAATACATATGTTTTCATTGATTTTAGAGAGAGAAAGAAAGGGAGAGGGAGAGAGAAACATCAATCAGTTGTCTCCTGCAAACACCCCAACTGCAGGATTAAGCCTGCAACTCAGGCCTGTGTTCTGACTGGGAATTGAACCAGCGACATTTTGGTGCATGGGATGATGCTCAAACAACTGAGCGACACTGGCCAGGGCACTAACTGGAAATTTTAAAAAAATATATATTTATTGATTTTTTACAGAGAGGAAGGGAGAGGGATAGAGAGTTAGAAACATCGATGAGAGAGAAACATCGATCAGTTGCCTCCTGCACATCCCCTACTGGGGATGTGCCTGCAACCAAGGTACATGCCCTTGACTGGAATCGAACCCGGGACCCTTCAGTCCGCAGGCTGACGCTCTATCCACTGAGTCAAAATGGTCAGGGCAACTGGAATTTTTAAAAGCTCACATTTAAGACTCAAGTGGTCATGGCAATTTTTGTTGATTATAAGGCCCCTCTTCTTGATCCTGGTTTCTGAGAACTCCTTTGTTGGTTGTCAATCAGTGTGCTTATAGCAGGCAGGAAAAAATATTTCAAGTATTCGAGCAGTCCAATGTTTCTGGACAAGCTCATTCGCATCCCCTGCTTTCTCTAGTGCTTTTCATTTAGTTCAGTCGTCTTAAAAAACGGGCCAGCCTATTAAGAGACCAGAGGGAGGGAAATGGCATAAAGGACTGAGACCCCTCTTTCCACTTTCTGGGGAGTTATGGGAACGGGGTACACAGATGTGGCCATGGAGGGTTGTATAATAAGAGGCTGGGATGATTGCATTTTGCCTTTTCCCATAAATGTGCAAGATTACATGATGGAATGGGCTGCATGTACTAGGAAATTAATAATAGATCCTACGGCTCTCCTTGCAAAGATGCCATATGTACAAGGACATTCATTGCAGCATTACCTCCAACAGCAAAAAATTGGTAATATTGTTCATCAGCAAGGGACTGGTTACAATAAATTGCAATGTGCCTGTACAATAGAATACCATGTCACAGACAATGATATGGAAAGGCATCTGAAATATGTCATTACGTGCGATGAGCAAGGCTAAGAACAGAGAGCCTAATACGGTACAGGGAGAGGGGCTGGGGGCAGAGAATAGGGAGAATGACTTACTTTTCCCTCTACATCATTTTGTACCCTTTGAATTCTGTACCACAGTTTGTATTACATGTAAGCAAACATGCAAGACATATGGTTAAGAAAGAGAACATGATTGAGAAATAAAGAGCTCATTCTGTGTATGTGGGTGCTGCATACATGTTCTGATCTCTTAAATGGAGATCAGCAGTGGCCATAATTCAAAGGATTACATTGGGTTTTTGCCTCTTGCATCCAGATCTCACACTCCAGCTACAGTTACAGGGTACCTTTCCTAGGAGATTGTTGTCCCTCCCCCGAAACACACACTTCTTGGTTAGTAAACAAGAACTTGCAGGGACTCATCCCCATTTTGTTGATTGGAAATAAGATCTGGAAAATAAAAAAGTGCTTTTCCCATCACGACTCAACATTAGTAGAAGACAGTGAGCTCATATTTCCAAATGTCCTTTGTGTGCCTGCCTCTGGTTGGACTCACCCCCAACCCAAATCAGCTCTATTGTTCTTTCCTCGATCCCCTTAATAACCTGTTGGCAAACCTGCTCAGCATTGCCAGAACTGTGAGCTTGCTGTGCTCATTAATAGAACCACTTTCTCCTGGCAGCTGGCAGCTGGGGATGGAAAACATTTCACTTCATCTAGACCAGTGGTTCTCAACCTTGGCTGCACATTAGAATCACCTGGGAATCTTTTTTTAAAATCCTGATTTCTGGGCCTCATCCTCCGGAAATTCTGTTTCTTTGTTATGGGGTGAGGCCACAACATTAGTAACTAAGAAACAGAATTTCCAGAGGATGAGGCCCAGAAATCAGGATTTTAAAAAAAGATTCCCAGGTGATTCTAATGTGCAGCCAAGGTTGAGAACCACTGGTCTAGATGAAGTGAAATGTTTTCCATCCCCAGCTGCCAGCTGCCAGGAGAAAGTGGTTCTATTAATGAGCACAGCAAGCTCACAGTTCTGGCAATGCTGAGCAGGTTTGCCAACAGGTTATTAAGGGGATCGAGGAAAGAACAATAGAGCTGATTTGGGTTGGGGGTGAGTCCAACCAGAGGCAGGCACACAAAGGACATTTGGAAATATGAGCTCACTGTCTTCTACTAATGTTGAGTCGTGATGGGAAAAGCACTTTTTTATTTTCCAGATCTTATTTCCAATCAACAAAATGGGGATGAGTCCCTGCAAGTTCTTGTTTACTAACCAAGAAGTGTGTGTTTCGGGGGAGGGACAACAATCTCCTAGGAAAGGTACCCTGTAACTGTAGCTGGAGTGTGAGATCTGGATGCACTAGAAAGTAAAAGTTGGAGACTCAACTGCAAAAATGGCCTGAATAATGGCCTCTCCTGAGTTCTCTTATCCCATCCAGGGCCAAGCAGACATCAGCATCTCCTTGCAGCCTATTGACTTTGTTCTGACATAGTTATGGGATACTTGTCTCAGAGGTTCTGATCACAGACCCTGACCTTCTCTTCTCTCATCCACTTGGAGGGTGGCAATGTGCCTAGGATGTCCAGGCACTATGTTGTGGTTTCTCAGAGTTCATAGAATTGCTTAAGCTGGAAGGAAGGGACCTTCAAGATTATTAGACTATGAGCCGCATTAGGGCTTAGGCCTCATCACTTGTTCAGTGCTGTGGCCTCAGTACCTAAGTATGTTGTACATAGAAGGTATTCAATAAGTATTTGCTGATTGATTAATTTCAGTCCCAGCTCCATAGTGCTCAAAAGTAAATGATCACAGTGATAAGGATTAGTTGTGTTTCTCTGTACACACACACACACACACACACACACACACACACACTGATTAACTCAACATAACTGAAAATTATGAGGTGCTAAGTACACAATGAGCTCCATGAGACCAGAGATTTTGGTTTGTTTTGTTTTCTTGATGCATCCCAAGTGCCTGCCATGCTGTCTGACACACAGAGGCACCAGTAACTATCTGATGAATGTATGTACATGATGAAAAGGTGCACTGAACATCAAAAGATTTACTCACCGACATATATTGCTGCACACCATTCACAAATTTGGGTCCTGCCTCTTTCCTTAAATTGATCAATTTTGAGAGATGCTCATAAGCCACAAATTCATTGAAGAATGTCTTATAACCTAAGAGTTTGGCAACCATAAAGCTGTCCTGCCAGTCCACTCCCATCATGAAGGAGAAGGGCATGAAGATGTAGGAGCATATTAGCTACAGAAACCAAAAACAGATACTTTATTAGAATGGTGATTAGCTTCTGCCTCAACCTACATACAAGATTGTTCCTGCCCCTTCTGTGTTTCCTTGAGGCATAAAAATCCCTTCACACACCCTTGCCCATCTTTATCCATTAGGAATCAGGGTTGGAATTGGTCATTTGAAGCAATCTGGATTCTTGGGATGGGGTCAGGAGAGAATGACTGAATATTGGAGGGGAGGAGGACGTTAAGAGAGGGAAGAGAGGGTGAGAAGATGGGGGTTACATGGTAAGTGCGTACATTAGGTAAGAGTGTGCTATAGGCATTAGGGAAAACTGTTCAGAAACCTTTTCTTAGTTTTAAGAAAGATAGGCAGAAATAAAATGGAGGAGAAACATAGTAGAATTATACCTCGAAACTTAGTTGTGGGTAGTCGAGCATGTTTCCGAACCAGGACAGCGCTGAGTTCATAAAAGACAACAAGGCTATGAAGGCAATCAGATTCACAGCGATGTTTGCCACCAGGGAGATGGATGCGGAGGCTCCCTGCGTTGCGGCTTCTAGGAGATTCCTTGAATCACTTTATCAAAAAATAGTAATCCCAGAATTACCAATGAGTTTTCTGCGGATGGATATCACATGTGTGGGAATGGCCTAATCAAAGCTCATTTGGGTGGAGAGACCAGCTCTCAGGCCCATGTCTGAGTCAAAATACTCACCTGAATTCTATGAAATCATGGTGGCAGAGTGTAGGTGATGGGTATGTGTTATATTACTCTTTTCATATGGAGTTATTATAATATAAAAATTAGGAAAAGATAAAACTTTAGGTTTTAAAAATTATCTCTAATTAAAAATAGCTATCAGAGGATATTTAGAAAATATTCATTATGTAAGAACTAACAGTTCAAGGAAGGTCTGAATGTCCATAACCTCACTTAAGAAATGGAACGTGACTATCACCTTTGAGTCTCACCTTCCTGCCCCCCAGTGCTCTTTCTTACTCTCATTTTCTTCTCTCTAATCTCAGAAGTACCTGGCTCCCTTAAAATTTGCTTATCATTCTCTTTCTTTTCAATTTTCCTACTTGTCTGTATCCCTAAATAATATGCTGTGTAGGTTTACACATTTGCTAACTTTATAAGTGGAATCACACATATTTCATATATACATTCAACAACTTGCTTTTCACTCATGGTTAGGACTTTCCCTATAATACAAAGGATGAATCTCAAAAACATGTTGGTTAATTCTGTGATTTCATGAAACACTCTTGAACATCCTAAATCCCTTAGTCTCTTCCACCTTTCTTTTCTTTTCCACAGAGCCAAAGAAAATGAACCAATGAGGGGCTAAGGATTATTATATCACACTGTCTCTTCCCTATCTATATATATAAAAGCCTAAGCGACCGAAAGACTGAACAACCAGTTGCTATGACGCGCACTGTCCACCAAGGGGCAGATCCTCAATGCAGGTGCTGCCCCCTGGTGGTCAGTGTGCTCCCACAGCCAACCTCCTGCAGCCAGCCAACCTCCCACAGTCCCTCCCCCTGGCCTGCCGCCCCAATGGGCCCCGATTGCCGGCCAGGCCTAGGGACCCCACTCGTGCATGAATTCGTGCACCAGGCCTCTAGTTATATAATAAACTTCTAGAAGTGATTATCTTATGGCTTTCCAATGGTCTTAAGCTCAATGAACACCATACTATATTTAAAGTGAAATATCTACATTTAACAGTCAAGGAATTGTACTGACATTCAGGTATTTAGAAAGATTTTCCTCCAGTGTGAAAACAAGATTTTTTGGGGTGAAGTCTAAATAGCCACTGGGAAATTAAATTTGTTTTACTACCATAATTCACTGTGCTCTCTGATGATCACCTTGAATTTGGACCTCCCTCCCCCTCTGGTTGTGTAGTGATGAACTAGGTGAACGTGTTCCACTTACCCAGTTTCCATTTTCATGGCATTCTTGAGGGTTATTTTAGGTGTTTCTGTCTCAGGCCAAAAGAGTTTAGCAACAGCCAGTGAGGCAGGTGCTGACATAACTGAAGCCGTCAACAAATGGGTGGGTGAAACCTGTGATTTCAGGAGAAAAAAGGCCAACTTAGGTATAGCTCTTCTGTTGTGTTCAGAATAAAGGTCCCAAAAGTCTTCCAAGGGAAAAGATGGGCAGGAATTGATTCTATGTCAGAAAACAATATTTCTTTGGAGGCTTGGGAGAGCTTACTTAGCCAAATCGGCATCACCTTGAGAGTCAGAGGGAGAAGAGAGGAATTTGTGTGAATTAATCACATCCTTGAGGAGAAGTACAAACAACTCAGATAATTTCAGAAGAGGATTAATCTTGCACTGTAGGAACTTTCAAAGAAGCTCCTCCACCTCTCTGTTGTCCTTTGGAATGTTCAAAGCCCATTCATTATGTCATCAATTTAGATAGGGGCTACCTGTGGGGTACAGGCATGGATGCACCCCTCTCCATCTTTCCTCTGCTATCCTGAAATCCTTTGAGTCTTTACATAATATTAATTTACCCAGAATCCCTTTAATCTGTAAACTATTTCTGTTTTCCTCACTGCTGGTCTACTTAAACTCTTTCCCCTTTCCTCCCTGTCACCCTAATTGTTTCTGCATTCTCACTTATAGTTTCAGAATTCTAGAATCAGCACCTCTCTCCCTACTCCCAACTGGAGATCTGGTCAAACTGCTATTCCTGAGGTTTCCTTGCTCCTTTTCTTCTTCCCTCTTTTTATTGACTGGCTTTCCAAGGCCCAGACGTAGTCCTGGAATGAAACACATCTGTCTTGTGAGAATTCCTAATCACTGGTTCACACAGCTGGTGTGTTATTCCATTTCTCCAATACGGGTTCCATCTATGTGCAGCTCTGTGCACCCGTTATCATAACATTCTCCAGCCCCATACCATAGGCCACCAGCTCTCAACTGGGCTGTACATTGGAATCTGGGGAGTTTAAAAAAAATATTGATTCCTGGGTCTCATCCCAAGAGATTCAGGTTTAATTACTCTGGGTTATGGGTTTGGGCATGAGGGCTTCTAAAAGCTCCTTGGTGATTCTAATGTATGGTAAGGTTTGAGAACCACTGCTCTAGGCCAGAGGTCAGACAGCATTTTCTGTAAAGGGCGATGGAGTAAACAATTTTGGCCTTGGGGGCCACAACTATTCAATGCTATAGCATGAAAGCTGCTGTACAGAAATGAATGGGAGTAGCTGGTTTCTAATAAAACTTCAATTTTATTAGAAAAAAAGGGAGTGATCTAGATTTGGCTCATGAGCCCTAGTTTGCTGACCCTGGTCTAGATCGCCTCTGCTAATGTCAGACTAGTTTAATTTTTAATCTAATTTAAATTTTCAGCAAAAGTAACCTCATAATATGATTTCATTCTATTATGGGTGGATATAATTCACATTTAGGTGACAAGGATATGAAAGTGAAACCCCCAAAAGGTCACTCCATTCAAATGCCAAAGGAATTGTGACCAACTATACAGCAAAAAGGATACTCTTTTGGTCTCCTTATCCAGCAGCAATGGGAAAAAGAAAAGAAAAGAAATAATAATAGCAAAGAAAGACGAGGTTGTATTTCCATAAGTCAATCCCCAAATATTCTTACCCCGAAAGAAATGTATGCTCCCAAGACACTTCCGGCAATGGTAGCGTACCCAGCGGTCATAATTGCGTGGAGTTCGGACTTGGTGATGTATGGTAAGTACGGTCGGACCAGCAGTGGGGACTCTGACTGGAAAGAAAGTGTGGCCAGATTAAACATTCCCTTTGAAATTTTGGGACTTTATGACAACCTACTGACATTTCTATTCTCTAAATGCAGTATTTCTAAGAGCGGACCTCAGACCAGCTCTATCAGCAGCACGTGGGAACTTTGTAGACATGCTGAATCAGAGGCTCTGGGGGTGGGGCCAGCACCCCGTTTTAATAAGGCTTCCAGGTGCTCTGGTGCATGCTGAGTTTGAGGACCCCCACCATAGGTGTCTGGCTTATTTGGACTCTAGGGCAGTGCACTTACAGGATAGTCATGTGTTGTTTGCAAAGCTTGCAAGGCCAATTCACCTAAGGCCCCCACCTAGCCTAGCACTGAATTCTGCTGGCTGTGTACACTTTTCAAAGGTGGGAACATCATTGGCCAAATAACTCTACCCAGTGGTCTGGCCTTGTGATTCCCAAGCTTCTGTAACTTCCCATCTTCCAGCTTCATGCGACAGACCCTAAGTCACTTTGCTAATACCACAGGGAAATAGAAACACAAGTATAAAAAAAAATACCAACAATAACAAGGACAGGGGCCCACAGGCCCTTTTCTCATTGAGAATCAGAGACACCCCTCTTCCTCTTGGGCGGAAAGGAATTGGAGAGAGTGTAGTTGTAAAGGCTTGAGTCCCATTAAGGAGAGCCGGTGCCTGCAGCGTGGGGCTCTCCATAAATAATAGCTGTACTTTTAGCATATTAAGTACCAAATTGAGCACCACAGAAGCATGTGTGCAATTTTACAATTTTCCCCTCATTATTTCTAATTGTTTGAAAAGATTGAATGTGTTGAGCTCCAATTTATGGACTAAATTGAAACTCAGTACATGAGTCCTCTTACCCTGCAGGTAGGAGTAATCAACTCAAGATGGTGCCCTAATTAGTCCTGAGAGAGTTTATGACTATAATTATAATAATTTCAATTCCTACGGAAGGAATATGGGCCCCGCTCTAAAGACTCTGCTCCCAGCTAGCAAGCTGGGCTTACCAATAAGGCCCAGTCTGCCTGGAGTAGTTGTAAGCCTAGGATTTGGGCCGTGTGCTTTCCTGGCTGACTTGATTTTCACTTCAAATCCAGTTTCCTGGGGCAGCCCTGACAGCAAGCATTCATACTGGGTTTCTGTGGTGTGTGATGCCATTCTGCCTGGAGCTATGTATCTGAATGATGAGATAATCATTACCATTTCTTATGTGTCCACCCCTCAGGAATGCTGCTGTTTTGAGGGATATCTGTTGGCACTTTTTTTTTTCTTTCTTAAAGGGATGTCAAGCAAAGAGACACTTTGCCTGATGGGTGAGAGATAAAAATGCTTTTGTTCATCAACATTTTTCTTCAGGCTCAGCAAAGATAGTGTTGGCCAGTTCAGAAAAGGGAGAATGAGCTCGAGTATTCATACAGCTGCCTGGTTGTTGGTTGAAAGCCTTTCTTGGTCTCCTTCATTACCACAAGCACTCTACTAGGGATGCTTGGGCACGTTAGCAGCTTCGAGATACATGGTGAGTTCCCTTCGAGGGGATGAGCTGCTAGCCTCAGAATGGTGAGCCAGAGACCTCACCAGTTCAAAAACTCAGAAAAGATGTACTGAGAAGCTGTACACAAGAAGCCTGATGTTTTTGGTAAATGAGTCAGTCTTTCTTCCTGTCCATGAACGTTCAAAAACCGAAATACTATATTAGTGCACCCAGACTCTTGGAATGGATTTCAACTCCTCCTCCCCCTCTTGCTCTCATTTTTTTTTCCTCTTTCTCTGGAACCCTGGACATTGTCAATACTGACTGTTTTCTATTTTGACACTTCCCCTTGCACTGAAAGAAATAACATAGTTCTTTTAAAATCCTACTTTCTGGGAAGAGTATCCATTTGAGCAGATGTTTTGTTTTATTTTTTAACATTACAACTTACCTGTCCGACAAATATATTTCCAGCAGCAACTACAGATTCAATAGGAGATGATCCCATAGTAACTAGCATTATCCATCCAACCTAAATGGGAAAAGTCAATGAAGAACTATTTGTATATACACAAAATGTCAAAGTAGGGATAAGAATCTTTAAGCTGGAGCAAAATGCTGTGACCTTCAATTGTGGGCATGTGAGTATATCATATCTAGTCCAGAGCAGGCTGATCAAATCCTCCTGTTTGAGTCATAAGTTTGAGTCACTGTATATACTTTGAACATTATACAAATGAATTTCTGTTGAAATAGTGTAAACAGTCATGCTGGCTTTACTGTGTTCCAAGCACTGTGTTAAACTCTTTGTCCGAATAATGCATTTAATCCTCATAATAACCCTTTGAGGGAGGTCCCATAATTATACCCATTTTATTTATTTTAATTTTATTTTTTTGTTAATCCTCACCTAAGGGTATTTTTTCCTTTATTTCTTT